TTATGAAGCCTTGATGGATAGGATAATCTTACTCGATAGATATACCTTTTCTTTCCAGACAGACGAGCCAACACTCTCTGATGAGATAGCCAAGGATAATTATCAGGAGCAACGCGTAAGATGTTGCAATCCACAGTATCTTGTCTGGTGTCGACAGAATTACCGACACCACTATCATCTCGATCATCCGGACTCCGATTCGTGATTGAATCACCGTCGAGATCGTCCCGGTATCCAAAGCCACCGCCTTTCTCGATTTCAGTCGAACGACTCAGTCTCGGATATGGAAGGTTCGACTCCTCTAACGATCTGAAGATGTCACGACGCTCTTTGCGTCTTACGGAGCTTCGTAAAGCCGACTATGTAGGCTCCAGTCGAGCTAACGCTGGCTCATCCTTGGCTTTTTCCTCCTCTGAGTCAGTCTCACCTTCAGACTCGCCAGTGTATATGAGCTCGAGCTCACAGTCTCCGATATCACGCGGGCATCACCACATGCGTCTGCAGCAGCGACTGCTGCAGGCTGTCGTGAAGGCAGCAGACAAACTAACGTCATCTCCTTCAGGTGATCCTGTCTCCCCAGCGGCAGTGGAGAGAAGTCACATGGCTGCGTTCTTAGCATCTCTGTCTGCACGCCGCAGAGACTTGTTAACCACGCGATGAGTTTTAATAATAGTTGGGTTCGCCAACATGTGCTTCTCTGTACCAGAGCTACTCAAAATAGTTACTTAACCATCAATCAGTCACTTATGTGGCTAATGGATAGGGGGGATTTAATGGGCTGCTTCATTTATATGATAATTTACACGATTAAATTATCAAGTATGAATACCATGTTAAGACGAATGCATTATTCTCACAATATCGTCCTAATAGGTAACATTGCTTCGCAGATAAACCACAGCGCTCACTGTTTCATACAGAATCGAATTATCGACAAGTACAGTCTACCCACGACGGAAGCACGCAATGAGTGGTGCGCAGATAGTAACAATACATGTTTGCAATTTAAAATAGTTCACTGAAGTCAAATATAATTATTAAAGAATTAATATACTAAATACAGTACTACCGTTTACCTATATCGAGAACTCTGACTCCGTATTGCAATACTCTCTGTTCGTAAGTGTACGTGAGATGGTCGGACGCAAAAACTCTTGTATTGTCAGCAGTGCAAGGTTCATTCTTTTTGATGAAATAGATGTGCTCCGTTACACTATCCAAATTTTCTTTCATGATTTTAAAGTTGCCAAGTAGCAAAAACGCTGATATTGTTCGCTGACCAAACATCTAGCGCTAAACTTACTGTGTACATTCAATGTAAAATGCTGGGATCTCATGAGTCTGGGTGAGGTTTATATGTTTTTTGCTGGATTTCATTCTTTTACCCAACAAATTCATAAGGAAGATTAATTTTGCCAAGAAGTGTTTGAGGACCAATTGATTAAAGCTGGACAATACCCGGTGGCCCATACGTTGTGACGGTGAGCACTGGCTTCTCCCATTCTGAACATGGCCGATCACTTCGGAGACCATAGTGCGTAAGCTGTTCCCCTTGTAAACAGCCTCCGTCGTCTTTAAGTCGGAAAATGCTATCGTAGCAATTACAAATAGTAACTGTGCCGATGTTGCTGGTTCTGACATGATTGATGCTCCTTTTCGCCAATTTTGAACATTTCCATCGCTCTGGGGAACCTTGAGGCACACAACTTACCGGTGAAAGGAATAGATCACGACAACCGAAACGATGAGGAGAGGGTCAAGATTGCACCGCATTTTCTGGACAAAGCATTGGGGGTAATGAAATCCTGGATAAGACATTGGAAATTATTAACCCCGCAAAGATTTTTAGACGTCTGGATGTCCAAGTGAAGATCAAGAAGGATATGAACAGTGACAAGCTATTTATGTGGTTTGGGTATTCTGATGTGTACCGCGCTCGAGGTGAAGCTTGTAACAACATTGATGAAGTTGTAAACGTGTGGGAGCATAGGAACAGTTTTAAGCTGGCAAAGATCTCACAAAAACTTCGAAAAGGCTTCGAAAAGTCTCTGGTAAAAAGTCATGTTCTGACAGCCAGCAAGGAGCACTGTCTTCAAAATTTTGTAAAATCGCGAAGATTATTGTTACCAAATGGCTGGAAGATGGAGTGACACCTGAAGAAGCTTATTACATGATACACAATGCAGCAGAGAAAATTTTAACAGATGTCGAGAAAGAGTGTGAAAGGCGTAATGTTGTCCAAGGTGTGCTCAGAGATTTGCTTGATAAGAAAAAAATACTTCCAGGAGGACCACGAGCACGAAAGCGATGTTATCGTCAACTATCTTGTGGACAACTGAGGTAGAGAAGAGCTGGTTGAATTTTTCCACTATCTCTCAAAACCATTCCAATGAAGGATTGACGCTATTAGCATTCAACGAGCTTTGGCCGTGAGTTCCCGGCATTGTGGACATGATGTTCAGTTTGTGCCTAAAGAAAAAACTGGACCCTGCCGTGGTCTACGATATGATGCCCATTGCAGCGGAGATAGGTCATTCAGGCCTTCACAACGAAAAGTAGTGGCTCGACATCTTTACTAACTCTCATCAAGTGTCTTAAGCATGTCAAGGCATTTACAGATATGGAAAATAAGGGTGAGTATAGTTCCTCTACGGAGCATACTTTTCCGACGAAAACTTTTCCGGCGGGTGACAATGTGCATTTAAATAAAAGATCTGGTGGCTCCTCTCGGTTTGGTCTTCAAAGCAATTGATCATTACTTCTGATTTCCGCATCGGAAGATATGACTGAATAATTGATTTTCGATCAGTGGATAAAGCTGCACATGAATCCTCTTGACGTGTGCAAATCGTTGCCCATTGCATCATGTAATGATGCTATTAAGACTTATGCGTGGATAAAATGTACACCAAGGTGTTATTATTTTTTCGTCAAATCGTTGTTGAAGTACAATAATAGAGTTGACGGTAAATTTAGTGATGATGAAGTGAATTCTCTACTAAAGTAATATGCACCGGCGGAGAGCTTGTGGGTTTATCGTACAAACGTAGCGTAGATTCCCGTACTTCTTTTTCAGAGGAAGACTTATAGACTCGCAGAGTCTTCTAGTGTATCAAACTAAACGGGCATTAGCTTAAGGGGTCTCAAGTCCTACAGAATTAGTGAGGCTTAACTCTAAGTGCTTGCACAAGCTCTCAAGCTTCTAGTCCTGGTTTTAGGGGACTACGACTCAAAGGAATCACGTGGCACTACTTCCTAAGAGTACTTATCCTTAACTCAGGCACTTAACTCTTACGAACAGAGATGTCTTAGAAAAACGCGTGTCTGAAACTGATCAAAGGGGAACTGAATACACTTACTGACGTTTAGCGATAATAGATCTTACATACCTCTTTCACCTTACAACAATGCTACCTAATCGAATAGTCTTCATCGTAGTCCTTCTTGTGTACCACACCAGAACTACGTCTCCTCTATGAAGACCCTTTTTCGATAGATATCCTCTAATCGTAACCGATAGGGCACGGTATTATCGCTTAGCGCACATATCGCACAAGTATGCCTTATCAGTAACACTGATCTCTTTCTGTGTGTACCACACCGATGTATATGGTCATCACGACCATTCGTGTAACCCCGATGCAGGAGAACTCGGAAGACTTAAGATGAAGGAACGTGCGCATCAACTGCTTGTAGCTTGGGATACCAGCGTTTGACGTACAAAACATGTAGAGTCGGATGCGCTCGCATACCACAACGCAATTGGTCCTATTTGCCATGGGCATTCAGTCTTATACCACTGGGCTAGTTGAGCCATGTAATAGTGCGACATATTTGGCGGATGCGCGGGACAAACTGGAACGACCGTTCCTTAATTGCCTAATGCATTTGTTCGAATGTTGGTGGTGCTATAGTATTTTCTTCACGTCGGCGTTCGTATATATCGTGCTTCTCGGTATGCATAGGACAGTACGTGTTGTCTCGCGCAATGCAATGAAGTTGCGGACTTTGTCAGAGCTTCGGACGCCCGCGAGACGCTAAGTTCGAGACGGGTGGCCTTCACCGCTACTGGGCATACTAGCACTGTTCGCACTGAGACTGATTCAATGCCTCGTCTGGACTGTTTGCTTTCCAGGTTTTGAGAGTAAAGATCATGTATGTACCTTTCATTTCCACCGAAAGTCAAACAGTGTTTTAAAGACACGGTTGTGCTGGGAAGAAAGTCACTTCTCGACTCATGCAGCCAAAAAGTAGATTCAAGAAGTTCAGTATTTACTTTGTGCACAGTCACTAATAGCTTCACCCATCGGGTTCGCAATAATGCGCTCTTACGCCCAGACGTGTAGCACGCAGCAACGAACCGTCGTGTTGAAGCAGCTTGTTCGGAGAAAGTCACAGTCAAGGGAGTAATCGAATATCTGATGCCGCAAGTACATGTAGAATAAACATCAGGGCGTCACCAGGGTGGGCCATGTTCTCGTACGAAGATAGTAGAACTCATACCGATCGCATGGGAAGGACAGGGTCTCGACGACGTGTAGGACACCTTCACGCCAACTTTTGTTAGCCTCCCACGAAGTACCATTCCAACTGTACTTACAACCTGCTCGTGCAGAACTGTCTTTGGCATCGATTTGTGCTTCGCTTTTGCACTCGTAAATGATGTGATGCGGCCGAACAGTCAGGCGCAGTTACATCCATGCGCAATAGAGCGACGAAAGAGGAGCTCATCGGGACATGTGTGCGATCGAGCCAGCCATTGTTACATGGAAAGAGGTCAAATAAATTTACGGAATTCGATATGGTAAACCCTCACTTCTTACGCACCATCCTTCGCTAAATGGACGACTGAAACCCTGCTGCTTAGGCTTGAACCCATGGAGATAACGCAGACGCAACACGAATGAGGAAAATATATTCTCAATCAGTCATTTTTGTGAGAAAACGAAATGGACACCGACCGAGGCGGTGCGCTATCGTCGGATGCATCATCTATCGGCCTACAGAGCAAGAACAGCAGCCACGAAACCAAGGGCTACGGAAGCAGCCGTGAACACCATCGGTGCAGCAGCGCCAGATGTGGTCGAGTCCGTCTCCGACTCCGTCGCACCACCAGTAGTGCTGCCGTCTACCACCTTAGTCGTCGTCTCTTCCTCGGACAGCTCCGTTTTCGCCTTCGCAAGCGTAGGGTACACGAATCCATCTCCGCTAGTCTCGCAACCCTCGCCCGCTTCGCACTCCGTACAGATCTGTGAGTAGCCAACACGCTTGCACCCGTTACCAGACCCGCAAGCTTCCACCGTCATGTAACACGGCGGGTTCATTGCCGCAAGCTCTTCCGGCGTCGGCAGCGGTCGGAAGGCAGCAAGCAAAGTGCTCTCAATCTGCGTCGAGCCTGACGTAAGCACCTCCTCGTACTTGGCAATGACCGCCTGTGCGCGAGCTGCGTTCGCCGTCGTGTTGAGCGGGTCCTCCCAGAACGGCAGACCCGTCTGGTACTCGCCAGTCTCGGCGTCCGCAGCGAACTCCGTGTTGTTCGTGTCAGCTAAACACCACTCGGTAAAGTTGGCGTACGGCGAGCCGGTAGAGGGGTTCTCAATAGCAGTGATGCCCACAATGTCGTCGATCGTGACCCAGCCCAAGATGTTGTAGGCAAAAGTGCACTCGACACCATCCGGGCCTTTTCCGTAGTCACACAGTCCCTTGCGCGTGGATGCACGGCACTCGTCCGTCTTGTCGCCCCACGCTTTCAGCGGACACGTGCCTGGATATGAGAACCAGTAGTTCTCCGGGTACGGCGCCCGCACGTCGTCGTCTTTGATGCCGGCCCCAACGAACGGGCCAACGTTCGGCTGGCCCTCGTCTCCATTAAACTGGAGACAGCCCGCAGGAAAGTCGTCGTCGCCCGAGAGCGGCGTACAGCGCCCACTGTCCATGGGCAGCATCGGGCCGTACTCGGGCGTCTTGCCCCACGAAGATTGAAACTGCGCCAGCGTCTCGTTCGTCTGGACGATCAGAATCTCGTAAAACACAATGTTTGCCATGCCCGACTTGCGCTCGCATCGCTCTTCCTCGGCACGGACGTTGATGTTGATGCCTTCGGCCTGCACGTACATGAGCGCGCCTTCGACGGACGCCGTGTTGACCGTGTCCATAGCACTCAAGTACCCGGCTTCGAGGTCACCGTCGCCAAAGCTCGAGACGAACACGCCCTTGACGTTAATGGGGCTATCGCTCTGGACACGTGCTTGGATGACACGGACAGGAGGCATGTGGTACGAGTCGCCCGGGTGCTTGGTCGTCTCGAGGTCGGCAAAGACGTCGCCGCCTCTGGACGTGATGGTCGCGCCAGCCCCGGCGCTGCTGCCGCCACCACCACCAACGGAGGCTCCAGCCATGGAACCCGATGGAGATGATGACGATGGCGTCGTGCTCGGCGTGGACATGTTCATAGCCGTCGTCGTCGTCGTGGTTGTGGTGGTGGCAGTGGTCGATGCATCGCCCGTGCCTTGGGACGTGACGATGGAGGCCGTGGACGCGACACCGGCCGCCGCGAGGAGAGTCAGTGAGCTGAATTTCATGGCAGGAAGAGAGTGACCCGAGCGGAGAGAAGAGATGAACTGACTGGACTGGACTGGACTGGAGGTCTGCCTCGAGTGGAGTAAAATGGAGAATAACGGTCAGCTCCACGGTAGGCGAATGTGGGTGGGTGTTGGCGGTCCGCAGTCGTCAGCGTCGAGCAGACGGAGCGGGCTGCATCTTGTTCCATGCAGAGAGAGCGTCTGGGCGGGTGTGGTACACTTCGGTGTCGTCGTTTCGTAACGTGGATAGGCTCGCAGCGGCTGGGGCGAAGAACGCCATCAGGACGAGGGCGTTGAGTGATCGTGCAACAGCTGGAAGAGCGTTGTCAATACTGGAGGCAGCTTGTTTTCGCCTTCACGTGAGGGACACGTGCGTTCCTGCGACGTGCAGAGACATAGAAAGCGAGCGCGTGGCTACGATCGGTCGATAACATGTCTCACGTAGGACGGTCGTGTCTGCAGCAGTCCTTCGATTCAGAGTCGAAGTGGCAGTCGTTGAGTAACGAACGCGCTTCTATACCGCGACTAAGGCATAGGGTCAGTATGAGACACTTGGTCACGGAAAGGCCGACAGCGTCTGAGCGGTTTCCCGAAAAGCAGCCGGTTTTGGACCGTTCAAGGGCTCGGAGTGATTAAAAACCGGTGACGAGTCGTTTTGGATCGAGGTCTCAGGTACGTGCTGTCGAGTCTGCGAATATATCAACCCGTTCGACTATACCGCCCTGGAGCAGACCGTGTGTAAATTGGGTTGACACCTTGCTGCTGCTGCTGCTGCATGTACCACGTTGTTTACCTGGGTCAATCTTACCAACTTCGTCGTACGTATTACTGCGTGTGACAGATCTTTCCTGCATGCTTACAACTGCTCAACAGCTCCCGAGACCTTAGACGTGACATTACTCGATCGCCTGATCGTACACAAAGCGGATCTCCCAATCGTCTGTGACCAGCACTTGCGGCTTGCGTAGCACAAGCCGGTCGCTCGCAGCATCGTACTTGAAGTCCACAGCACGCCCACCCTTCACCAGCACTTGCTTCGGCAGATTGGCCTCGAGTTGGAAACCGTATACCTCGATACGCTCCACCCACATTTGTGACATGTAGCGCTTGCCTTGTGACGAAGCAGCTCCCGCCGTTGAGCGCAATCCATCCCGTGTCTGCTGGAACGACACCAGTGTGCCCTCACCAACAAGCTCAGCGGCAAACGTCCGTTCGTCGTCCACGTATAGCTTGCCACGAGCCATGAAATGCTGGTCCAACGCCACTACAAGCGTGAGCGGATCGCCGCGCATAAGCTCAGAGCTGCGACGAACGCGCTGCTTGCGTGGCAAAATAGTGCCGCCGCGGTGGAACACTGGAATGGCGTCGAGCGGCGCAGGCACATTCTCGTACGTCTTTCCACCGACAAAACGCTTGTATCCGTCGGTCGCCTGGTACCACACCGTCTTGTCCTCACTGTTGTCCGACGGCAAGAACACGTGCGTCGCCTCCACGCCCTCGTCCACGATAGGTTTCACAAGCAACACGTCGCCTAGCAGGAACTGGTCTTCTTCACTGAAGCTTTGTGGGTCCTCTGTAAAGTGCACCCACAGCGGTCGCATGACAGGCATTCCGCGAGCGTAGCACGCGTGGAAAAGTGTGTAGATGTACGGTAGCAGCGAGTAACGTTCACGAATCGCAGCGCGAACACGAGACGTCGTCGGTTCACCAAACACCCACGGCTCACGACGGGCTGAATCGTGGTGCGCGTGACCGCGAAAAAACGGCTGGTACGTTGCAGCCTGGTTCCATCGCGTGAGCAGCTCCGTGGACGGGTCGCCAAAAAATCCGCCGACATCAGCGCCGACGAACGTGAGTCCTGCAACTGACATCGACAGCAACATCTTGGTGGCATAACGAAGGTGACCCCACTCAGCCATGTTGTCACCCGTCCAGACTGCACCAAAACGCTGTGAGCCAGCCGAAAACGCACGAGACAGCACAAAAGGACGTTGCATGTCCGGCGATAGTTGTAGCTCCTCCGCAAATGCCGAAAGTGGCTCCGGAGGAGGCTGCTGGCGAACGAGCTGACCCTCCATTGTCGACCATTGGAAGAGGGTGCCGTACAAGTTGTGCCATTCGCGGTGCTCAACGCCCGCAATACTTTTGCAGCCCTTGCGCATCGACACTTCGGGGCCGTTGAAGACCGACGGCTCGTTCATGTCATTCCATGTATACAAGTGCTCGGTACTGCCTTCGTAGTTCTCGTAGCGGAATTGGTGACGCCACCAAGCACGTGCCTTTGGTGACGTAAAGTCAACGTACGAGGACTCACCCGGCCAGCACCAACCCTTGAAGTCGTTGCCTTGCTCATCTTTCACGAAGAGACCAAGCTCCTCAGCCTCTGTGTGAATGTAGTACGGATGCTTGTCGCCGGGCTGACTCACCTTGATGTGCGGGTCAACGATAGTAACTATTTTGCGACCAGTACGCGCCACCGCCTTCTGCATGTTCTTTGGCGTTGGAAACGCATGCTCGTCCCAAGTAAAGTAACGTTTACCATCCGTGTGCTCGATGTCTAGCCACAGCACGTCATACGGGATCAAATGCTCATCGAAACCAGCATCCACACGGGCCACATCCGCCTCGTTCTTGTAGTTCCAGCGGCACTGGTGGTATCCCAGAGCAAACAGAGGTGGCAGCTGAGCCCGACCCGTCAGAAGCGTGTACTGTGAGAACAGATCCGCACTACTAGGTCCTGCCAGCAGGAAAAGGTCAAAGACACCCGACTCGCTGAGCCAGTGACTCGATTTCGTATGTGTGTCTTCGTTCGTCCAAATGTCCACAAAGGTCTCGCTTGGATTGTTCCAAAACATACCAACCGTGTTTTTCTTGTTCGGTGCAACGAGCACGGGAATCGCGCCATACAGCGCCATAGGATTGTCCAGCTCGTATTCGAACACGTCCAAATTGTATAGCCGATACGGGTCAGTCACCACCTTCCTCACTCCTTCTTCCTCTCCACTCACTTCAATCGTGTCCTTCAGGACAAAATCCGTTGCGTGCTCTGGAATACCGTATAACGAGCGCGGAGCTTCTGCTGAGCCATGAAATGACACGTCAAGACCGATGGAGCTCGGGCCGAACTTCTTCTTGTCCGTGTGCCCATCAAACGATTCTTCCCAGCCTTCTTCCACCTTCGTGTCATCAGCAGCTGACGTCGAGATCTCCTCCTTCTTTTGCACCGTGCCATCTTCGTAGATAGCGAGGCCGTCTTCTCCATAGTCAACAATCGTCTTACCCTCGTGAGCATCAACTGCCCCTTGATCAGCCGCTGCTTCGGCCTCCGCCTTCACAGCTGATTGATCCTGACGAATCTCGTAGTGGAATTTGCCGTCGTCATTGGTCGACACCACTTTCTCTCCATCCAGATACAAGTCCACGCCAAATGATCCTTTCCCCAACTTCAAAGCCGCCACAACAAAAGGCTTTTGGCTCGACTCTTGTCCCTCTGGAGCAAAGAGCAGCGCGTCCTTCTCGTTGATTGGCCCTTTCAGCCCTGCTTCCGCTACCGTCAGTCTACGTAACGGCCGTGTCTCGTCTGCAGCGGGCACCAAGATGGCGTCGCTAGTCCACCTGGTCTTGGGGTCCCTTGGATCCGAGAACTTTTCCTGCAGACGTACCCGCAGCGCCGGTAGCGTCGCCTTGTCTGCACTAAGTACGAAAGCCAACGTCCCGTCCAAGCGCACACCATCTGGCTGACTCACGTCCTCAACTAGGAAATGTACTAAATTAGCATCTGAGTCCGATCTGATACTGGATTGAACCACTTGGAACGTCGGACTTGACTGTGCATTGCGGTACTGGTTGCAGAACTGGGTCTTTTCACACGTGCGGAACTTGCTGCGATCGACAGCGACTGTCCGACTGAAGGCGAGCGCCGCGACCGCGAGCAACTGCCATCGAGAACGACGCGTGTGCTGCATGAGATCCACGTGGCGCGTCAGACAGAGGACCAAAAATGGGTCTTATGTAGAGATGGAGTGGTAGGGTGAAGGCAGAATGTGAAGTAACGGTTTTAAGTGGCAGCGGTGTACCCACGGGTCGCACACAAGAGAGTGACCATGGAAGTCGCCGTGGCGTCCACCTCGCCACTTGGTCAGTACTTGACGCGTACGTACAGCACGATCCTGGCGTGCATATGCATCAGCTGGTACCTACTGACGTTATCGTGTGTGCGTTTGATTTTTGCACGTAGAGCTTGACGCCACAGCTGCTGACGATGGCGAGGCAAGACCTCCATGGCTGTCTGGACCTCGTGCAGTACTTAAAAAGCGATTTATACGAGACCAAACGAGCGGAAGATCGAGAAAATGGAGGCGGATGCGATGGATGGAGAATGTGAGACGCTGTGTTGAGGTTAAGGCAGTGCAGCGACTGATTCCAGAGCTCTGTGCGTTCCACCCGACGATCCGGTGGGTGCTTTACACGGCTGTGTGGGCATGTCATTGGCAACTATTGACGCGGTTATGATGTGTGTTGCAATGGTCTTGTCGGTGCTTGGTACAGTGAAGAATTGCAGCAGGCTGGGGTGTGTGACCCTGTGGTGTTTCGACCGCCGTCCAAGTCTCGTGAAGGTCGGAGGTGTTGTTCCTTTGCAGCGGTCGAAGTGCTGAGGCATGTCCGTGTGAACACTACAAACGTAGTCTGGAGACTTTCTGTGGTGGTTTGCACGAGTGCTGCTGTGCTGGTGGCGGTGGTGACGGCGGTTGTAGGACGAGGTGATGGGAAACTTGTGCTGCTGCAGACGATGAAATGGATCGTTGCAGCCACGACTTTTTTTCTGCTGGGTATGGAAGTGTGTGTGCGATTACTTCACGCTTGGTATGCGCGTTGCTCGCGACGGCTAGTGGGTTCACTGGACGCATTCGTCGCGGGATTGGAAAAGTTTAATGAGGTCTACGCTGGCAGTTTGACGATCGTGAAGCGCGCGGAGCTAGCGAGTCGCGGGTATCGCCTCGGAACGGGTTTGCTCCCACCGATTGGCAGATTGGAGAGTAATACCATGAACACCTCGTCTCACGATCGGTCTGGTGAGGATGCTGCTAGCCATTCGTTAGCAAATCAGCTACGTTGCCTGCCGTTGCGGAGGAAACTACGAGCACTGAATAAGCAGCTGCACGTACTGGCATCGGTAGTGGTGGAAAAGGACGACCAAGCAATAGCTCACCAGTGTCAAGTCTATTCGAAGGAGGAAACGACTGGGGGCGAACAGGCCCCATCATTGCTGCTAACAGCGCTGTCGAAGCAGCACGACCGGGCTGTTCTGTTGCTGGAAAACGTGGTACACTCTGCCCTTGTGCGAAATATGACATCTGCTTGTTTGCTGCATCGCAAGACCGGGGTCGATCGGAGTCTACTTTGTGCGCTAGATTCGCTGCGGTCTGTAGTTGGGCAATTAGTCGAAGCATTGAGGGCGTATGCTGACGATCTTGAGGACTGGAACACCTCTCAAAATCCTGTGGCACTGCTGGAAAGCGATCCAGCTACAAAGTTTTTGGATCGACGACGACGACAGGAGCAGGTGTTGAATGCATACGATACATGCCCGAACGGTGTCGCTTCGCCACTGTACGAGCTACGCTCAGCAAGTGAGACACTTGCAGCTCTGGTCGTCGCGGCACAACACGAGCTTCTGCCAGTGGATTCAGCGGCAGAAAGGCTACTTGGATCCCGTGACGCCATGCACTCTATGGTTCTGCAACTGCAAGAAGCATGGAATGAGTACAATAGTGCGTTAAGCGCATTGAATGGTCGAGAAGACAAGATTGAAAGTGTTGGTGGGAGTGCTGTGGTTGGAGATAAGATAGGTCATGCGTCAACACTGGTCCCTCCAATACCTCTCTCATCAGCTCCAGCTCGAGAAGACCTCAACTGCACTGTCGTATTCACCGGCACGAGTTCTGGCGACGACGATTTCGATTTGCAGGCTCTTTTGAAGCAGCAGGAAACGAATGCTGTCGTGACAGCCCCAGGCTCAGTACCTAATTTCATCCGTGAGTTGCGGGATGTGCTGGCGTATCGGCAGACCCAAGCACCACCGGGACCGACGAAACAAGTTGACCACGACCCCCCTGCACTTGTAACCTCGGCACCATAGCACCAGCGCACCCTGCTTCTGCAGTTATGTTTGCACCACCTTATGCACCGCTGCGTAGACGACCTCGACGACCTCTTCCCGTTTCGCGTCGAAGTGACACGTGTTCTGGGGTTACAGCGCATGCCTTCAACTTGGAGCTTCGTGCGCTGCTTGAGCGATCCCAGGAATCTCACCATGGCGCAACTGAGTGTTTAGGAACTAGCGATGTCGACGACGATGCGGCATTGCTTGAGCCAGCCGGTTGAAGATCAATAGGTCAACACATTTATTATTTGCAGAGAGAGCAGGTCGAAGGCCGCACAGCTCTGCGTAGGGGTGTACCGATCCATTGCTTCGTACTCTGCTTCACTTGTGCCAAACGAAGCAAGATTGGTTCCACGTGTTGCTCTTAGCGCTCCATTAAGATGCAGTTATCGTATCCCTTAACCCGTCCAGCAAGACTTCAGTGGAAGCTGGCCATCCCTTCACCCAGCCAAGTTTACGCACCTCGAATGGGTCATACCCACACAAATTGTGGTGTGCATGGCACTCAGTTGTGCTATAGCTGAAAGCTCGTGACTTGCGCCGCCGGTTTTGTGTCAATCGGCAGCATACGCCGTCGAGAAATCGAAAAGGTGGTGGCTTTGTCGATTCCGTGGACAACGTTGTACGACGATGCGAATGCCGGATCACGAAGTAGTGCTGGACGTGCTTGCGTTCACATCCGGCTCCCAGTGAGAGCATCAAGGCAATTGCTTTCTCGGGTGCAATTTTGCTGGCACGCTCGCGCTGTGACTTGGTGATATGACTTCAACCCAGCCCCGTCTGGTTGTACGCGGTTGTACGTTTGTGACCGGGCGGATGTAAACGCTGATGAGGTTGAATCATGGAGTGCAAGTGACTATGCACCGTGCACGAAGTTGCAAAGTCAGTGATCGCATCTTTTGCAAACGGGTGAAATTGATTGACGTAGTAGCACGCCAGTTGCCAACTGGCCACGTTGGCGCCGCATTTTCTCTGAAAGCGGCGCAGCTTACGACATAGTCTCGAGTCGTCGACCACCGCCTACTGAAGACATGATACACGTGCATCGAGACCGTCATCCAACTCGGCGATGACACGTTCAGCTTGGTTTCTACATGCTGCGACGACACGTTGAGCTAATTCGGTCGCCAACAATCAGACACGCATTGTAACGTGACGCCCCTGTACCAGTCAAGACAACTGAAAGTGTAATTCAACCAGTCAAGGCAACTTGAGGCTACCAAAGTCTGTGCGGATCGCAGTGGTCGACATCTCCCCCACCTTCTTCTCCGAAGGATCATCCCGTGTGCGAAGAACTCGGTGGTCACGTGCAACAATGCCCGGTTGATCCATCTATTCATCAATGCGCCGAGCCTGGATGCTCGAGGTAAGATCGTTTGCAGGATAAGCTCCGACACCCATCGGTTTACTGCTGTGAGGACGGCGTGACTCGATCAGACCGGAGCAAATTTTGGCCGTGTCTATCGCGGGTCTCGTCAATTCGCCAGCTGTTGAGCTTGGCTTCTTTGAAGCGTAGCGCAGCCGACAAAGAAGGGACACTATCCAGCAGAAGCGACAGGCACGCTTTCTTGTCTCTTCGAAAACGGGCAAGTCTCTGTACACGAGAACGTGCTGCGAAGACGTCTGTCAGAAAATCAAGTCTGCTCTTTTTCGTGTCACGTGGACAAGTAAACGACGTCACGGGACCAAACGGGAGCGATCCTGTGGGTTCATCCGACCGAGAATGGACGACTGCCGCCGTTTATCAGGCAGTGAACTAGCTCAGAGGTTGGCAATGTTGACAATGTACTTGAGCAGGTCCCTTCGTTCCGAAGGACGGCCGGCAATGATGTTCCCATACTGTATATATTACTCTGTCTTACAAATCTACTCGCTCCAAGGCGCGCTGCGCTCTTCCTTCTTCTTCTGGTCTCCCTCCCATTCGCAACAACTACCACCATCACCACCACTAGTAGACGACGTCCGCCGGGTCTCGTCAAATAAATACGCTTCGATTCCGGGGAGCGCCTTGGCAGTAGCAGCTGCGTGCTCACGTCTCGTGGTGGAAAGTCTCGATCAAAAAATCCATGCACTTGTCAAACTCCATGTCGTTGGGCTCAGCACAAGGGCCATCGAGGTAGTACAGGCTGCCTCCTGTCGAGGAAAAGTTTATTGCTAGCGGCAAGTGCTCCTGGTACGTGTTGCTGTCGTTTTCGTCGGTGCGGTCCATAAAGACACTGGACCAGGCGGTGCTGGGACCGACGCCGATCTCCATTGGAGACGCGCCGCCATCGCCCGTTACACCGAGTCTGCTGAGCTCCTGTTCCGCTGCAATGGCCAGCGACGTGGACAGGATCGAATCGTTGAATTGCTCGTCGTTGCTCAGCAGCATGTTGAACCTGGACGACTGGTCCATGAGAAACAGCGAGCTGTACTTGTCACTAAGACACGCGTTGCGCAACCTTCGCACGATCTTCTGCCGGTACTTCTGCGCGTGTGTCATGGTCTGACGTGCCGTGCGCGTCCCCACATGACTGGCAATGTCTTTCCAAGGCCCCGATGGGAAGAGGGTGATGCCGTCCACAAAGAGCTGGTGCTCTTCCGGCGTCCAGACGCCGCGACCTTCAGCGACCGGCTTGGCTTCTTCGGGTTGCAGCTGCGAATTCTTTTGTCCGGCTGCAGTGCTCTTGGCCATAGTGGTGAAGGACGTCTCGAGTCTTTCGAAATGTCTTCCTGCCACTCTTGCCGATCGACGCGAATCTTCAACTGACACGAGATCAACTCGACTCTCCGAGCCCCTTTCTCGACGTGCCTCTCTCCCCTAAACAACCGCATCTCCGTCGCGGAATGACACGCTCAGCCCGAGACGAAATAAACTGACAGAGACCGAGTTGCCACGGTACTATAGGTCTTCCTACAGGCGCAAATCAATCGCTATCTTGCTGATATGAAGGATAGGATAGGCAGCTCGCCTCGCGGGAAATTCTGGCGGGCACTCACTTACTCTTCATGAGCCGGGAATTGCACGGCCGGGACGGACAGTCCATTGTTGACCTCAAGCCCTGCTTTGCACCAGCAGTGCATCGTCCACGTCTGACGTTCCCGGCTGGGACACTCGCTTCGTTCCAGTGAAAAGCAAATTCAGTCGGCACACGTCGCGACATGGCACTGTAGTACTACTTTTGAAGGGACGCGGTAGTTGTGTGTCGTGCATTCTGTCCTCAATTGCTTCGTGTGGTGTGCCTTGTTGCAGTCTTTCAACGTGGCTTTCGCCCCGGGCTTCAGGCTTCCTCTCTTACAGAAATACTACGAGATGTGACTTTTTCCAGGCGCCTAGCGCCGTGTATCTGCACGAAAGAAAACGAAAGACCACTCATGCCACATGGAGACTGCATACTGAATGCAGAGGGATTGGCCGTGATGCTAATGTGGTCAGCAGCAGTGATGCCAGCAGTTCTAGCGACATGACGTACCTACAGCCAGCAATCAGCGAGTCTGTTTTGCAGCGTTATTCGAACGTGCACTGAACGAGTTGCAAGGGCCCGGACGGTTGCCGACGCGAGTCTCCGGATGGATCCGGTATGATTTCAGCGCCTTCTCCGACACCTCGTCGCCCGCATCGGGACGGCATTTGAAGCGAGGTGAGTGGGACCGCACTCTTTGTAGTAAACACGGAGGACGTAGTAGAGAAAGAGATGGAGAAAACATCTACCGGTGCTTTGCCACAGGAACAAGGTGGCGGGTGTAATCATAAAGTAATTGTCGCGTTTGTCTGTATCAGCGTCGAATGCGAGTCACCCCCGCTCTTTTCTGTAATGCAACAGTGATGACTGCTGTACGAACGTCGTGCTAAATTAGTCGCAGCGTTTTTCTCTCCGCACTAGTCAGCAATTACATAGCAAAAACCTCGCTGCCCACCGAGTGCCGTAGTAAGCGACTTTATGCGTCACCGATTTTATCGATGGCGGTCGAAACGAATTACAAGCAGACGCTGCGGGAGAACTCCCTTCCGTCCCTTTAGAATGCTGTTTGGCGACAATGAAAGTATGCGGGTGAGCGCGATATTAGGCAGCGACGTGCCTCGCAGCCTAGCTACCTTAACTGCATGGTGCACGCTTATTGATTCTCTTTTTCTCTATGCATTTCGTAACCTTGGAAGCAGCTTGAAATCCACTGAACCATGGGCTACTGTCGTTTGAATTTGATCACCGAGCTTCTGTTGCGGTACTCTATCACGACGACTCAATAGCTGTGGTTAAAAGCATTTCCGATAGTGTTTGACTCCGAGATAGCGGCATAGGTGCTAGCGTGTGCGATAGCAAATCAGCACATTACGAGGAAGGATTAATTGACAGCACGTTGTGCTAAACAGCGCTGCTTCTGCAGATGCCTGGGCTGTGTAGTGGGCAGGGTCTGTCGAGATATAACGAGGAGAGTGTGAATCGTCCTCGAAATAGCTGGAAAGTTAAGCATCTTGATGTCAGCGAAATGTGATGTTGGGATCAGCATCCACTGACATGCAGCACGCAATCCGTAGGTGCAACGCCAAGTAATTTCGGCGTGTCTTTGTAAGCACAGTCACCTCAATATGTCCATTAATGACAGCGGGGCCAACAGGGCTTGCGGGGTGGGATTATTACATCAATAGAACAGTACAATTCGAGTCGTGTTCTGACGTCCACGGATTAAGACTTCTAGATTCGCACTTCTTTTCGACGATGTGGTAACACAGTAAACACGAAACTCTCTTTTCGGCCGAGGAGGGTACGTAACTTGGGTCAACTTGATCGAAGCATTACCTGCCCTAAGCAGTACCCGATATCGGCGCGACGTCGGATGGGGTATCCGTAGTCAGCCTCACTCACATAGCTGCGCTCGCGCATCCAACGAGCGACTCGTAGGGAATAATAATGATCTATTTGTGTTGTTTCGCTTTCGTCAAATTCTACTTAGCACTAAGCGCATACAGGTTGCGTCGCCTGCAGACAATTAGCTGCTCGAGATGCAATGTTAGGCGTTGTGCGCACCGAAAGGGCTATACGACGGTGTCTAGTCAATAGCGACCCAATCGCTTCGGTTGACATGAGTAACTTGCCACCGTGGCCTTATATGAATTGAGACGGGTGTTACCTAGCGTGCTGCTACGATCAACAACAACATTGTTATCGGATTCGTGATACTTTACACGCCGCTATCGACACCGCTTAGCGCTGTCGAAAATACCGAATGCATCCGAATAAAATGGTAGTGTCTTGCCAGCAGCAGAGAATCACGTCGGAAGTCGGAGCGCTATGCAACGGGCTTGCGATTTCTGTGCGTGTTGAGCTCCTCGTAACTGTCCGTCACACCTTCCTGTAACAAGTACTAGAGAACGGAGCAAAATTTGTGAGACGTACTGATCTTTGTAAAAGTCTCGCACACGGTTCTTGTAGTATTGGCTCTAGTAATGATGCTTAGCTGGCTTATCCAGGGTTCCGTTAAGAAGGAACCTCTCTCCATCAACATCCGGAAGCACGTCGTACAACTGGATCGGGACTGCGTAACAAGAATACTAGAGGTAATTGCCGTGATATGCCAAGGATACTCGTGTCGATGTCTTAGCCAAGAGCTAAAGCTACCAGAACTAGCATCGGATATGGACAGTCGCAATCCATGTGCTATCGTGAGATCCGAGAGCTGAGGTTTTGCTCCTTGATTATAGTGTCGAAGAAGAGTTATACGACAGTTGCGAAAGTCGGAGATAAACGAACATGCAGCAGCCTGGAACGCGAAGAAGGAGAAGAATTACATACGAAGCTGCAGTGGATCATTGAAAAACGGTGATTTTGCATGACGCACTAAACCTGTGGTATTGCAGCCAAGGTCGCGATTCATTTCGTAAGCATTCGGAGCTGCTGAAGCGCCGGGTAGAGAATGTGATGGCGCTTCAGCAAATATCGATACATCGCAGGGTCCTTCATCAGCGAGTTAAACGCATTCCATGTGAATTATCGAGCAAGAGGCCATCAAAGTTACGAGCGCGTCCATAGCTTTATCGAAAAAGATGGCACGCGCTTTGCTAGACGACGTGGTCGACATCTTTGGTGCGAGGACACTAACGTTAAGCGCGATAGGGCGTGAGGCTGTCAGCGTGCAAGGTATGCAAAAAGACGGTGGATTTGATACACATCCGCTTGTGTTGCCGTCCGTGATGAATATGGTGTTCTTGTCACTTTATTCAGTCACTAGTGATCCGTGTTGTAGCTCCTTTTAAAAACAGAGATGCGACTCCTACACGTGCATCATTTCAGTCAAATACAACGCAAATGAGAATTACGGTGGTCATTTTCCCATCAGTGCGCTCATTCTGTGGCTTGAACTGTATGAAAATGACTGCGGACGGAACACTCGAGATATGGCTGTATAATATGTGACTATGTAAGAGATGATTACCAGTGAGGGCTAAGGCTCCAGCTCTGACCAGGCTTGTCCATAAAGGATCTACTCTATTGGTATAGATTATTGATCTGACCAGACCCAAAGGTACCACAAGAGCCAAGGAAAGACTTGCATTTTTATTCGCAGTATTCGGCTTTCGACCGAATGAACGCGACGGCCGTCCGAGTCACCAATTTCGTCTTCTTACATTTGTCATTCGCCTTTCAAAGCTACAGCGACATTATTCTCACGTACTCATTGGTGCTGCTGTGCTCTTGAACTGCGTGTCGAATTTCTCCGGGTTCAACAAGACGAATGCTGACGGTCCTATCCTCCGACATCCATGAATGTTGCAATAGCGCCCCTTCAGTCGCCTCGTGGAGGTGCACAACGCCATGAATGGAGAGGGGAGGATGCCGTGAAGTGCAGCCTCAGTGGTGTATGTGCTGAAAGTGGCATTCGCAAAACTTTCTTGACAAATACGATGGATGTGTTACATCGCAAAAATGTGGTGAATACGGGCTTGCTACAGAGAGCGATGGTCAATTACAAGAGTTTGACCGCTATGTCTTGACGCTAATTACCAAGAAGATGCCTCATGGAAGTATGGAGATTGCTCTGTCGCCAACTTTTGTCACGAGAGAAGACGATACACAGAAGAATTGTTGAACAGATCCGCAAATGTAACGAAAGCGGGAAGGAACGTACGCATGCGATCATCCTCCAGAGAAGACGTCAGTGAATAGGAAGCAGTCTATGAGTCCTGATTTGAACGCAAACGAGATGGCTTGAATCTCGACTAGGAAGTTTCATCGACAAATTTGATGGGGATAAATTCAAAAATCACAAGCCGCTGGATCGGATATTGCTAGGCTTTGGTAGCGCAGCCAAACTCGAATTTGCTCGCAAAAATAGAATCACATCACCGAGTTTTACACCGAGTAGTTACAGCGTGCGATGCTATAAAGTCGGCCGGAAAGTAGTAAGCCCGCTGATGCCTTTTTTTTTACGTGCTCGAGCATTCCGCCTTATGGAAGAAATGCAAGGGCATCGAAATGCTCGTACTGACACAGTGCATGCTACCCACATTGATGTCAGTACAAGTTGGTGCCTTGAGACTTTACATACACGCACGTGCAGTGGAAGGTTATTCACGAAGTCAAGGTACTTTACGGGTAAAAGTAGAGCTGTAGTTAGTATTCGGTTCTCTCTCTGATAAATTTCCCCCGATATCTAATAGCCTCCACTTTTTTAGGTTTGCGCGTCCACCGATGTCGTTCTATGGTTGTTCTATGGTCACAAACTTATAACACGCAACTAATCGTCATGAAGCGAGATATTAGTTTCGAGATGGAGAATTGGTACCAAATGTGAAAGAGTAAACCTGTTGAAGCCAAGCATCGAGGGTGGTTTGTGTGGCGTTGGCACTGCGAATGTCATCCTGTAGGCTGCGGAGTAGCTTGGACGTAAAACTGTGGGTCTTTTTGAGACAGGTTATGTAAAGCGCAGGCACTACCTAAGATGGCTATCTGCTCGCACTTGTTCAACGTGTCTGCAATTGCCTCCAACTCTGCTTCAGCACCTTCCTATAATTCCTTCTCCTTTTACACTGCGTTCAATACCTCTTGGTTATTGAGCTCTGTCTGGCCTCTCTCGACCTCTCCAGTAGAATTGATTAGCTCATCAGTGGACAGTCAGCCAAACATCACACCAATTCTCTAATGAAGAACAACAATCTCAGCACACGACCAGGATTGCTAAGTGTTTCGCACCATGAAGCAAAATCTGAACCAATTTTTACAAACAAAATAAGAGGTCCTGTGTTAGTGGTCTCTGAAGCTACTATTCTACAAATTTGGGGCAAAATTTAATTTGGGATGGAAGAGGGGTGAGTGGTTCCGGATAATGTTTTCACTTCTTAATCTTTAAAATACTAACATTACTATTGTGTATCTGGTAAATATGTAATGCTTACAACCTTTGTTTTTTTATTTTCTGCATTTTTCTTGGTACAATTCCCCATGAACGACGCTACCACAATCCAGCAACTAATACCCTCTGCTAGCAGTTGAAAACTGTATTTGCAAAGGTTAAAAGGTTATAGAGGGAGGAGAGTAGCTCATCTTCTGTGAACAAATTCGATTTAATCTTCTTTTAAACATGTCTAAATGCGAATGCGTGTTGTAACTATCTGTTTACCCCTTGTTGCGCACGTCTGTCGCGGCCTCACATCATGATTAGCGTCTTTCCATACGCCAATCAGTGAGCATAGTACTACCCACTGCGGTAAAAAATTATCGACTGAGATACTATTCTGAGAAGAGCATCTTCTCGCACAATATTCCCATCGTTATTTACCTTAAATCGACATTCCGTAACAAACCCATTCCGCTACAAAAGAAGAGGCTTCGCGTCCAAAACGTGGATACCGTGGAGCAATACACTGCAGATCTTGACGTAAAACAGTGATGCCAAGATCGGTACGCTAGAATACCGAAGCGAGAAGTTTTGTGACGGTGGGCTCATACTGCCGGAAAGGAAGGATTTGCCTGCACACACCAACGAATGTGAAAGAGCTCTAAAGCGACATTAGAAAGACGAGAGCGAAATCCCGGAGAATTTGCCGACTAGTCTCATCGATACGGATACGGAATCGACAGAGCAGTATGGGATACCGAGTATTACAGGAGTGCGTGGCGGTGTGAAAGCCTTGTTCCATTTGCATTGTGCGAACCAAATCCCCGTTGTGGCCGTGCGCGTTCAGAAAGCAATTGTGTGCTTTACAAGCTGCAGATATCCAGCTGTCAAAGATGCTGCGCACGAGCTCTAAAGTGTTGCCTTGCTGATGAGATGAGACTTGTGCATAAAGACTAGCAGAAGCGAAGCTCTAGCAATGGAGGATGTACATCAGGAAGGAGAACAGAAGGCTAAATCAGCCAGGTTGAAGAGGCCGATCTAATGAAAACACATACCCGTATAGACGATGCGACAACCGGCAAAAACTTGGACGAACAACGACGTGCTAACGAGGAGCGTCAGCTAGCGACTGTTGACACAAAGAACTGATTGCGGCACCAAAAACAACTTCACAAGTCAATCACCTTTCGTTGAGTTTACCGTTTCTACTATGAACTGATGACATGAAATGTTTTGGCAGCAGCTAGCTAAGCCATGGACGAGCGCAAGCAAGCCAACCCGAACGCCGTACTAGAACTGCCAAATCAACGGTATTGAACCCTACGGCACCAACAGCGCGGATGGCGAAAATCATGCGGGCACCTGCTCGCAGCCAGATTCCCCGGCTGAACACTCCGTACAGATCTGGGAGTAGCCCGAGCGGCGGCATCCATGTTGTGCACGTCTACACAACTCACTGTTTTCGTAGCACTTTGGGTTGTTCGCGGTCAGAGTCGCAACATCAGGTAGCGGGATCATGTTAGGGCTAACGCCGTTGCTGGCCAGGTAGTTGTACATGCCGACCATTTGTGCGGAACGGCCCGCATTGGCATTCGGGTCACCGGGATTCCTCCAAAAGTCAATGCTCTGCTCGACCTCGAATCCCCGACCATTGTTCCTGGCCTTGAACTCCACGCCACCACTCTCACAGAACTGCTTGTAGTCGGCGAAGCCCATCTTGGTGATGCCAACCAGGTCGTCGAGTTTCAAGAAACCCAGGATCTTGTAGCTAAACGTGCACTTCTCTCCATCTGGCTGGACTCCCATGGGACAAAGACCACCGGGGTACTGGGCTCGGCACTCGGGCGTCTTCTCTTTCCGATACTTGTGAGCGCACGCGCCCGGGAACGAGCACCAGTAGTTGTTAAAGTAGGGTGCCCGTGGATCCGTTTCCCGCCGGCTGCAACCGACGTTAGGACCGAGGTTCTGTGTCCCGTCCAGGCCATAAAAAGCTTTACAGCTTGATGGCAAGTCGGCGCCTGCGTCCGTGCACTTGGCGCCATCCATGGCCACGAACTCGCCGTACTCAGTAGGCCTGAGGTTCTTGTAGTGCTCAAGACTACGAGTGGGCTGCACGATCGTAATCTCGTAGAACACCACGGTTTGCATGTTGTTCTTGCGCTCGCACTTGACCGATTGCTCATTCACGTTGATGCCCTCAGCCTGCATGTACATCAGAGCACCTTCGACTGACGCCGTGTTGGAGGTGTCGAGGCCGTTCATGTAAGCAGCCTCCACCGTGTCGCCGTACTTGGAGAGCCACAGATTCACCTCCGGTCGAAAGACAGTATCAGTCCCTTGGATACGGGCTTGGATAACCGTCACGGGTTTCATGCGCCAGTTGTTGGTGTAGTAGGCGTCAGTGGTGGCAGTCAAGCACAGCAGAGTAGGAAGTAGACCGCGTCGACGCAACATGTTGAGACAAGTGTCGAATCGAGGGCGTCGGGGGACAAGCGAGTGTTCAGGACCAGGAAAATGCTGGAATGGGAACTAGCATAGAGGGTGTTCGGCATAGGTGTCGACACTACGTTGCAAGCAGACGTAGCGTCGATCGTACGAAAGGTGTTGCACACCTCGTGCGTGCGGATGGGGTTGCTGTCTGTCAACTTGAACGATTTGGCATAATCCAGCGTGCCCTATCCAGCTGAAAAGGATGCATAGCCGCTGCCTGAAACGCAACGACGTCTCGTTCGTTTCGAGCGACATCGGTAGTTTATCGCACAGCTGCGAGTAAGAATCGCTTCAATTAGTCCTAGCGTCAGTGCATGGAGCATGGCTAAACTGAATGTGCACATTTTTTATGTTGAAGCTCGTACTGCTATGCTGGTTCATCTGGTCTGTAACGCTCGGGCGAATTCCAGCCCTCAAAGTTTTGGAGTGCACGCAACAACGACAGGGATGATTTGGATGCTAGGGGTCGCCTGGGCTACGAGACCAGACGACATTCACGTGCGTATGGTTGCATAGAGCCCAATTATCGTACCACCCGTCATCATGCGGAATGGAGGTCCAATTCCTGAACTTTTTACCTTAGCCTGAGCACGATACTTGAAGCAATGGGACACCACGACGGAGAGACAATGGGAAAGGAGACCAGATGAAGATGTGCGCATATTGGAACGACTGCCCCGTGGAGACGATTGTCAAATCACATCGTGCTACTTCCCAATCGGCAGCCACCTGCAAATACGGACAGGGACGAGACCCACCGGGGAGCTAGGGAACTGGTCCTCATGCCTTGGGTGGGAAGCCCGACATAGTGGGGCTAAGGTAAAAAAGGAAAGGGTTTCTTCCCACGGACGATGGATCGAACCTCCCTGCAAAAAACGAAAAAGTTCCTACTTTTTGCGGTCTGCCTGCAACTCGCCGACACGTTCGCTGAGCATGAGCCCGGTTCCATGAAGAGAACCCCCCCCGAGACCGTGACTGTAGCGGGGTGAGGATGTTACATGCATTCAACCCTCGATACTTGTTAATCTGAATATTATCATCAAGGTTGAGAATAGTGCCATAAGGGGTGATATCTAGAAACAGTCACCGATTGGCAAATATGGGTCATCAAAGTAGTCAGCTTTAGCGGTCCGATCAATGATGGACGCACGCAATGAGTGGTGAGCAAGACTTTAGCATGCATTGTTGTAGATAAACATAATTGAGTTAGGACTAAAACAAAGGTTCATGATCAGGAATTAATTGTATTTAACACGGTTTTACTTTTATCAGCAACCAGTCAGTTCCTAGTTGCTATTCCTTCCTCTGCCTACTTAACAGAGGTAGCGAGGCACCACTCACGCTTCTGTTGGTAATAGTAGCTTCACACTGATTGTCCAGTGTGTTGCTCCAGTGCCCCGTTACATCAGGTGGCACTTTGTAGTCCGTCGTAGGACCACAAAACCTGTTTAACATAAACATGTTGGACGGTGAAGGCAACGACACCTTTCACGACACCCGTAAAGTTACTCATATTTGAGTGATGTCAGATGGAGTGAGGACAGACGAATGAGTTCGACCGTTGGCAAAGAAGCTGTCTGGTCTCTGCTATGAGACCAGACAATGTTTTTGATGCATCGCGAGATGAGGTGGCCCTGTGTCACCAGCAGACTGAGCTTCTGAGACAGCAATAGTCTCAGTCTGCTTCTGCAGAGTCGATGCTCACGCGTCGACGCGAGACTTTCCGGTCAAAAATTAGTAGCTACCGGGGAGTCGAGGAAAACTCCGTGTTGAGATGGTTTCTTGAAGTGGACTATGCCATTGAGGCCAGGAAGTGCAAGTTGCGATTGCCAAACTGAGTTTTTCAGGACGTGCCAGAACTTGGGCCCTGTCTCGCAATTATACGATCCAAACGTGTTTAGAGAGTTATTGGTCTCTAATACTCTGCTCAACCAATCGTCTGAGTCGCCAATAGCTGATTGTAGGAATCTTTCAGAGCCACTTAAGATAACAACAAGGTGAGCGTGACGTATAACCCCAAGTGCATCACGTTTGTTTCCTTACGAGTTGCATCGTACTAAACCTGGTAAGTCAAAATTCGCGTAGATCACGATATTCTCACAGGGCATTACAGACGCCCTCGTTAGGAAATACCTGTTCCGCCCCGAGTTGAAGTCGCTTGAGGAAGCGATTACAATGTGGGTGCAAGATAATTTTAGTGTTAGACAGGCTCGCAGCTAGCTTGACCCCTTTACGTCATTCGAGACGAGTAGTGGCCGGAGGTTCAGAATCAAAGGCCCCTGAAAGTCGAGACTGAGAGACCTCGCCCTACAAACAGTAAGCGATTCCAAAAGGCAGCCGTAGTCAAGAGTAGGGCACTACGTACACTGGGGTGAATCGTTACATAACAATTTATAAGAAATTGTTAATAGAATATAACTATAAGAGTTACATTCTCAGAATATTGTCATAAGGACAAATATTCTGTAGCACTTACGAGTAGTTCCTAATTGGTTGATAAAGGCCATTATATCAACCAACGAAGACGCGCCACGACAGACGCACGCAATGAGTGGTGAGCAGATAACTGATTTACACATTTGTATTTAGACATAGTTAGATGAAGATAAATAGTGATTTATTGCAGACATTAACTATTATAAATACAGTTCTACTTTTTACTTTAACCAAGTACTCGCTTCTTCTTACCGTCTTCCTCTGCACGTACGAGTGTACGTGAAGTTCCGAGGCACCGCCTTATTCTGTCATCAGAATAAGCAGCTTGTACTGTCACCAGTACAAGCTTCAGAGTGCCCCGTTACACCTGGTAGCACTTCGTAGTCCGTCCAAGGACCACGTTCACATCTAACATGAATATGTTGGATGATGAAGATGATCAAAGCTTTCACGCTACGCGTGACGGCTACTCCCATTTGAGCGATGTCGAATGGGATGCGGTTGAACGGATGGGTTCAACCATGGGCATCCATCCTGTTAGCGTCATGCTAGAGGCTCTCAATAGAGATGCCTAACATGATACTATCTCCAAGTTCATTCAAAATGAACTTGACGCAGAACGCGAGAAAGTAGCCTTGCTTCACCAACAAGGTTCTCAACAAGCAGAGTTGTTGAGAGAACAGGGTGTTCAACAGTTTGAACTGTTGATACAGCAGCAGGCTGCTGCTGGTGAGTCGATGCGCTCGCGTCGACCCGAGACTTTGAAGATTGACATCTCTAAGTAAAGGAGAGTCGAAGAGGACTCCCTCTTGAGATAGTTTGTCGAATTAGACGACGCCATAAGGGCGCGTCGCATCGACGACGGGAAATGCAAGTTGAATTTGCCCAATCAAATCTGGCAGGACGTGCCAAGACTTGGGCACTGGGCCTCAATTGCACGACCCATATGCGTTTGGGTCGTTGGAAGTCTTCAAGTCGCGGCTCAGACAAACGTTTGAACCGCCTAGAGCTGAGTTCAGAGCTCGAACCGAACTCTTGAAGCTCAAACAGGGTAAGCGTGATGTGCACGCTTACGCGCAACATATACGACATCTCACGAGTTGTATAAGTTCCAATCCGGTGGATGAACACACGTTGGTTTCGGTGTTCATGCAGGGTCTTGCGGATGGTCCCGTCAAGACTCACCTGTTACGACTTGAACTAGATTCACTAGAACAAGCCATTTCCATTGCGGAACAGGAAGACTTCAGTCTGAGACAGGCTCGCGCCAGCTCGACATCATATCGTCAACCGAGACGATATGACAATGGAGGTCCAGAGCCGATGGAACTTTGTTATGTAGAGAGCGAGAAGGCTCTCTCTACTGTCTACAAGAAGTTGCAGAGATGCAACAGATGTCAAAAGACAGGACACTACGCTTACGAGTGTAGTGCCCCTCGTCCAGTGTCTCGCAACACTGGGCGTAGTGACCGTCCACGCATGATTTAGGGGCAGGGACGAGGGTCCGCTGTTGGTGCAACGACGCAACAACGGGATGGACCGTAAAAAAACGGACAGGATCAGTAGGTGCGGAGCACCCTACTGGTCCAGCAACGTCAAGAAATTTTGTAGGCCTCTTGATGAAGGTTGCTCTCAATACACAAACGTTGTGCGTTGCTGCTCTAGGTAATGAAGTCTCACTCATTACCTTGAAACTCGAAGTGACAAATAAGTTGTCCCTTCGAGCTCTAGTCGATTGTGGGGCGTCCAACAATTTTGTGCGACGCCAATCGCTAGAAGATGGTCATTTTAAGCTCAGTGAATGTGACACACCTCCTACGAGGATGACGGTACGTCTTGCGACAGGCGCATCCGTAACCGTCATGAAGCGTATAGTGAAGATCCACTTTACGCTTGAAGATACCCAATATGCCGATGACTTCATCGCATTGGATTTGGATGACAAATTTGATGTCATCCTTGGAATACCGTGGCTCAGAAGGTACGAACCACGAGTAAACTGGCAACATCGAACAGTAACGATGCCTGCCGCTTGTTCATCAGATGGCCATCTGATGAACGTCTTGGAGCGTCCACAAGCGTGTGGGTGTACTACGAGTGAGTGCGATGGCCTCACTTGTGGTACGGTCGTTAGTACGACTGCAAAAAAACCTAGTGTAAAACGGTTACACTTCGGAGCAAAGTTCCGGCGGCTGTGAGGAAACACAGGCTGCGCCGAAGGTCCACCACTCGAATAAGTCGGGTGGACTGGGACAAAGATGTATCCCTAGCGGGGAACATCAAGAAGATAAACGATCGATCGCTCAGGTTAAGCGAAACGATAATCCTAGATCGACTAGAGAGTCTTTCGTAGAGGATCTCGCTGTGGTTGCGCAACCACAGCTAGAGGAGGTAAAGGGAATAATTCTTGAAATTACAGATACGGTATACATAAGTTCCCCGAAATCCGAGGGAATAAGTCCCCGGGAAGCCGAAGGAATAATTCCTTCGAAGCCTTAGGGAATGAGTCATCATGAAATGACAGAGAC